TAGAAAAGGTAATAAATAAAGATGTATTGGATTTGTATTATTTGACGTATTATTTTTTATTTTAAGAATATTTCTTTTTTTTGGCAAACTGTTAGTAAATATAGTTATAGGTAAATCGATTCTCTAATAATAAATACAATAATGCAAACAAGTTTAAAACGAATACTACATATTAAATTCTTGAAGAAAGATCAAAGATTAAAATATGTAGATATTTATTTTAGACTATGTATGTAACTGTCAAAATGAAAGAAGAATACATTCTCTTTCTGAAAGAACACTGTAAACTCTGGGATAGAGGTCACGACCCCTAAGCGAAGGGAGAACGATTAAAGGATAAACAAAAGCCATTGGTCACTTTCTTATAACTATCGATACAAAACGTCACTTCCTAGGGGGAGGGTCCGAACCTTTGTTCGAGGGCTGGGATTCCCTTCACCGCTCTCTTCGGGAGTTGCGAGGTTTGGATTTTGTTTTACTATCGGACGGTGGTATAGAATAGACTCCGGGGAATAGTGGCGTCACCGTCCGTGTTCGAAGTCTGCGAGGTTTGGGGTCCATGTCTTGACCATCTCCCTTCCCTCTCCTTTTCTTCTCTATTGAATGGATGGTTGACCGAGTAAATCTAAGCACAGATGGCGCTGGAAGTCAAAATTCTCTGTAGGACTTCCGGGGTATTATTTCCGACTGATTTTTACGCCTAAGCTTATAAAACGCCTAAGCTTACTTTTTACTTTGTTAACTATATACTAACTTCGACATTTAGCCCTAAATGATAATTTGTAAATATGCCAATACTACAATATGGTGGAACGATATGCTAATACTAACGTATGATGGTGCACGGCCAACACCAAGAACAAACGGTAATAAGTAAAAAGAGACTAAATCAGAACTCCCAAAAAAGCTAGTTCCTTCTAAATCTTACAACCATGTCACCTTTTTTAACAAGACATCTCTAATAAGCTAAAACAAATTTCTATTTCAAACTTACCAGAATTACTTACAATCATTAATATCTTATGCAGATTTGAGCTTAGAAATTACATAATTTATTTGAAAATATTGCCTCGCAGAATAAGCTGCAGTAAGCCACTGTATACTTTTTACCAGAAGTAGAGCAGGTCGAGAGCTCGAGATTGTTGTTATTTACATTTATATTGAAAATACCATCCATAGTACACAGAACTGACATAAACATAGTTTTTAAAGAAAGCGTAGAGAAAATTTAAAAAAATATTTTTTACAATTATATTCGAAAAAGTATTACTGAAAGGAAAGATATCATTAGCGATCACAACACTCGAATACGCCATCTGGGGAGAGACCGGTGTCATGCCTTTAGCCCTTCTCCCTTCTCTCTCCTCCTCTTTTCAGTTGCATAGGAATGTACTACGACATTTTCCCTTTTCTTAATATTTTTCCTTTCTATTTTTTAAAAATAATTTTTAAAATTTCCGTGATACTTTTCTTCAAAAATATGTTTAATGTAGTTTTCAGTTCCATATAGTTTTCCAACTTAAAAGATTTTAATCTATATGAAAATCAAGAGAGAAACTAACTTCCTTCCTTCCTCTATAATATGATTTTCCACACGCTAATGGGGAAAGCATGTGAAGTGTTGCCATAGGTAGAGAGTTCTGCTCTACGCCACCTGCAGCCCATTTCGATCGCCAATAATATATTCCCAAACAAATGAGCAGAGGGGGAGAGGAGAAGGATGAGGCTCTAGATATACAACCGATTCCCAGATGGTGTATTCGAGTTTTGCGTCGCGAATTCGTTATCAAGCACAAATATAATCGTACAGAAGTAAATAAAAACATGGCAGAAATACTATGATATACCGTAGAGTTTCAGCTATTCACATGTACTGACTCAATTAACCGTTTCCGGTAAGTGCTGCTAGAGAGCGCTGTAGGCAATTGAACAGGAAAAATTTCAAAAAACGTGGTTTGATGATGTCAGAGAGGATTGTCCTTAAGTTTTATAGTTCATGATTAGAAGTTATTAATGTCATTCAAATTGGTTTATAGCATTTGCAGTAAATGGCACTCATAGAATTAACTGCACAAAGCATAACTCGAAGCCTCCAAAGAGAGCAATTTTTATTTCTCGGTTACTACGGGTGAATGAGAATTTTATGTAGAGGGCGTCAAATCGTTAATGACATATGAATCAATCTACTCTATACTGTTTTAGGCTGTCTTTGTTTTTGGAATTTCGAAACTAGTTGAGACTAGCTGATGGTTAATGGCATTTGTATATTATAAGTGCTTTAAAAACATGCTGGTATTGCTAATAGAACTTTATGACGGGCGTAAGATAAATCAGATGGTTCAATCAGATTATTCATAAATTCATTAAACTTTATATGAGTGTCTGGCATAGGAATAATCGTCATGCTTTTTCTTCTAGCCAATCAGATCACAATGTTATGTTTTTAACTTTTTAGGGGTCGCGGTCGTGAACTCTAACCTTTATAAATATTTTATTTGGACAACATTGCGACAACTTATTAACAGCTTTGAAGGTAGAGAAATATTTTACCACTTTTAAAGCATGGCTGTTTCATTTTACCTCTTAAAAGATTAACGTAGTTATTGTAATGCTTTTTTATATTTTCGTATTTAAATCGCATGATTGCAAATATCTAGCACTGTGCTTGATGCATGTTTCTTTTTTCCATTTGTCTAAATGATTGTATTTCTCATTTTTTTAATTTATAAAAGCCCACGGTTATTCATAGTTTCAAAATTTATCTTGTTCCTTAACAATAATCCTTTCTGTAATGAAATTAGAACTATTGTGTTCAACCACGATTTTCTTTTAAATAGACTACTACACTAACTACAGATAGATTCTCTTCACACTGTCTAAAATTGATGGACTTAATCTTGATCTCTTGCGACAAAATTCTTAATAGATTAGATAAATAGTTTGAAGTTTTGATCCTTCAATACGCATTTTTATTCTTTAGATTCAGAAGTTCTTTTTCTATTTTATCCAGTATAAATATCGTTTAATAGTAGTTAAAGTATTTATTTTGCATTGCAGTTTTAAAAATTACATTTTAAACTTTTACTTTATGGTACTTCTATGTAGAGATGTCAAAATGCATGATAAAAAATAAAAAAGTAAACGTGTGGACAATTCTTCAATTATTGTGATATTAAAACCCTGTTAATATTTCCGTTTTTTATCTTCTAAACTCGAAATAATCCAACAAACTTAATACTTCTAAAAATGTTTGGAAGATGAAAATGTTTCAATTGTATTTTGTTATCTCATAGTGTTTTTATAACATACTATTCTAATTAATACCTATACAATAATTGTCCATTAAAAGTTATAGTTACTACTTGTTTCTAGGAGCTTTAGTTCTTATGAACTATATTTATGGTCAGTCCAATGAGAAATGTGCAGTTTGCATTTAAATAGTTATCCTCACTATGTTTATAAACATTAATTTTTCTAATCATAAAAATATTTATTTTTTATTGAGTTATGTTTCAGACTTTTTTAATTATCGAGTTTTTCTTCTTCAAATAAAAATTAAGGTTTAATTTTTTCTCTTATTGATAGAAATTTTGATTGTATTACATTAAAATTTTTCAATTTTCTAAAGAAGTAACTTTAGTTTATGAAATTTATTAGAAAGAGTTACAGTAAGTTAAAACATATAATATTATCCTTAACTTATGAACAAGCCTTAAGTTTTTCAAGATATTTTCAAAGGCTTTCTTTTGCTGCTTATACTGTTTCATTGGTTGAGCAGTCAATCATTGATTGAACGGTTTGACGGGTCAACTATTAATCGCAGTTCTTCTTTTATATTGGTCTCAATGAAACAGCTTCATAACGGTGACTTATTTACCCGGAAATTACATTTAGTCTGTAGAAAGGACTCTCCTAGTGCCAAAGTCTAAGGCCATTTGTTACTATGCTTACAAGAAATATTGCATTTCAAAGAGGGGAACTTCTCTCACCCGATTCACCTTCGAGGGCTGTGGAGTCGGAATCAAAATTAGGCAGATTTTCGCTTAAGTCGCTAAAAACATGACAACTTTGACTCAGGGTTTTGTTGCTTAGTTCATAATTGAAATGAAATTATATTGAATTGTAAAAAATAATTAATGACAAACTGAGTTGTTGTTTTTTTTGCAAATTATATATATTAATAATTAGTTATTTCCTATTTTATTAATATATGGGTGAGTGGCGAACCTTGGGACACTTTTTTATTTTTATTTATTTTTTTGATCAATTATTGTCAAAATTTTACCTGGTATTCTTGTAATATTTGAAAAAATTTTTAACTAGTTTTTGATTTTGTATCTGTCATAGAAAAATTTTTAAAACATTTTTAGTTACCTTGTTATTTGTCCCAAGGTGTACCTCCTAGTGGGGCAGTTTAAAAGATGTGAAAAGTTAAGTAGAAATTATCTAAAATAGTGTAACTAAATAAATTTACTTATTTTTTAATTTTGTTAATAAAGTTTTATTTTGTTAGTTTCAACTTTTTGTATGCAAATCCAAGTTCAATCAGTATGCAAATTGCTCAGAATCAAATACCAAACCTAAAGAACATTCAAAGCTTTTCTCTGCTTAAGTTTTAACAAAATGTCATTTGAATCTATGCATGATTTGTCTTCTTTTTCGGGATATATAAATGTTTGACTGACTCACTCTTCTCAAAACTGATAACTCTTACTCATCTCTGTCAACTCTTTCAACAACCCTACAAAGGCAACAACAGATCTTTTACCAGAAAATTTGATAAGAGCAAAATCTCTAATTAATAATCTTGTTTTACTACTTTTTTTGTAGATGAACTTTTTTCTTATCGTTAAACATTTTGCTGTCACTTTCACTGTTCATTTCATCTAAGCACGAACTGCTGCATTATTTTTATACTTCTTGCCATTAATTAAATCTAATGAGTTCCTAAAATGAGAAATAACTATTAATAAACAAAGATTATATAAATTAAAAAATACTTTGCATGCACAATATATTTTTGTTGAAAATCTATTTTATTTTTAATAAGGATCAATTATACATATCTAGTGTCTCAAGGTGGGCCACCTCAATCTGTCCCAAGGTGCACTATATACTTAGTAGGATATTTTAAACTATCATACTTTTAGGCTTAGCATTAGAACAATTAAATTTGATAACTTCGAAAGGAAAAGCTTTACACTTCATTATATTAACTTTTATTAACTAATTAAACTTTTATATGAAAGTAAGTAAACATGCTTCAAAAATAAAAATCTTAATACATTCTTACCTGCTTAATTATTAGCATCAAAATATGTTTCAAGGTTAAGTGATGCTGACATTTATCTGAATCTAAGAGAACTAAAAGATAATTTAAAATTTAAGACCAAAAATAAAAATGTCCCAAGGTGAGCCACTCTCCCCTATTAATAAATAAATGAAGAGAAAAAAAAAATTTAGTTTGTTAGACGATGAAATCGTGCTAGTTACAATATGTAGATCCAAAACACCGGAATTTTGTTGGATGATGAGCCTATTTAAAAGGTAAAGAAAGCCATCTATAAACTTAATGAAATTATTCTCAGAACAATTTGGATATTCAAATCAGGACAGTCAGGCTGTCGACATTGTAACTGAGTATCTATCTTCCTCTTCCAGTGATGAATTAATTTTTAGAAATATTTGAATAATATTGAAAAGGCTAAGGCAAAGCAAGTAAAAATAAAGAACTAAGAGACTTTAAATTTAAAAATAAAAATTCCAAACAAGATTTCTACACAGACCTTAAATAAATTGTGAAATATGATTGCTGTTATAAGACACCTCTTTTAAAACCTATACAAATATATCCTGAAAAGTTTTTAAAAAAAATAGCCATAACAATTACAACTCTTCCTCTTAGTCAAGTTAGTGTAGAAAAACTATTCTCAGTTTTGCAGTTTATAAAATTGGATCTATGGTCATCTATTGAAAAGATCTTGCGAAGCTATACTGTTTCCTAGAAATTACAAATAGCAGTTTTTCCATTTTATAATAAATGTTATTTAATATAAATAATCTGCTATGACATGAATTATATTTTATGTAGCATCTATTACTTCTTTTATATTATATTTTTTAAAAAAATAAACTAGCACATATGTATATGTTTACGTACAGAGCCGGATTATACCTTTCGTAGGCCCTAGGCATAGCCGTTTTTGGGCCCTCCCCTCCTTCCCCCACTCCTCCCCTCTATTCAAAATATATGCTAAAATTTTCTTGCATATTTTTTTTTACATTTTNCAAATCGAATTTTTATATAATTTTTGCAGCATTTACTTCTTATAACAATCAACCAGAGCCGGATTATACCTTTCGTAGGCCCTAGGCATAGCCGTTTTGGGGCACTCCCCTCCTTCCCCCACTCCTCCCCTCTATTCAAAATATATGCTAAAATTGCTATATGCTCGTTGAATCCAAAAATCGCAAAAAAGTAATATATTAAATCATAAGATTCTGCAAAATTTATTACCGAAAAATATTATATTTTTATTTGTATCTTCATAATTTTGTGCAATACACTTGTTGTTTTTAAAGCTAAATTATTTTTGTCAACAAATTTTTTTCTCCCAAGTTTTTCGTAGGCCCTAGGCACGTGCCTAGTGTGCCTATAGGTTAATCCGGCCCTGTTTACATATATATGGTGTAGTTGAAGTCTGTCATTTTCCTTACATCCTCCACAGCCTTGGACCAAACACCTCTACTTGAAATAGTTACTATAGTCCCCGTAACCTCCAAAACTAACTGTGGTGATACCAAAAACTGACTGTGCCCCGAGGCCTGAAGCATATAGATGGCAGCACTTTCTTAGACTTTTTACTCATTGAATGTTTTTTGCTTTATTTTTCAAGTTTTTTCAAAAGGGGTCAGCACTTCATTTATATCTAAAGTTTTCTTAATGATTTGGCAATTTATATTTTATTTTAATTTGGTAATTCGAATTGTAGTTTTATCTTTATTTTTCTTATATGTGGTTGTTTCATTATTAAGTCTTACTCCGTGTACTTTTTAATTGTCTTTGTTTGTCATTAATTTTTCATTGCATTTCAATTTTTCTAATTGCTTTTTCTTATTTGTTTATCCATTATGGGGCCTCGGGACACAATCAGTTTTTGATATTACCACTGATGACAGAAAGGCTCCTGTGTGTTGGTAGGCAGTGTCCTCCCTAATGAAGTGCTGTCTTGCTAGCACACATATCTTAAATATTCTTCGTTTTCTGCCAGAATAGTATTTCTGACTTTCTAAATTAAAATAAGACAAATTTGATTTTAGCTGCTTTTAGCTCTTTTTAATTTTGATTTATTATTTTAAATGTTATTTACTTATTTTGTCTTTTTCTGAATTTGTGTAAATCAATTTCATTCTTTGATTACATTGACATACTTATTAATACTTAATATTTTTTATTTTTTACAAATTACTTAAACTTAACCAAAAGCAAATAGTAAAATATGACTGAAATTTTTTTTACCTTTCGAAATTCTG